GTGGGGAGGAGGCTTGAAGCCAGAACCAGCTTTTGACAGACTTCCCAAAATCAGCTGGTGTGTTCCCCCCCCCCCCACACCCAATCCCCTCCCCCATGGGAACATAGTGGCAGAGCCTTTGATTTGAAAACACATTTCCCCCCACAACTTTTCATGTCCGTTTATAATTCCTGCCCACTTAGTCCCATTCTCAGCTTTCATGGCAACCTGTGCTTGCGGCTAGGGGGTAGTTCTTCAAATCCTAGAGAAATCTCCTGGGTGGGGAGTTAAATAGACCACTGCTACTCCAGCACCCAGCACTAGGAATAGCTGGTAAATGTCCTCTCTAGGAGGTGCTAGCTGTGATTTGGTCCAAATATGGGGGACTGGGTCTGTCCCCTCCAGGGGGCTCCAACTCCCACCCAGCCCTGCCACAGGGACTGGCTTTCTCCACAGGGACTGGCTGGTTCAGGGGCAGGGAATGAGGCAGGGTCTGTCCTCTCCAGGGGGCATCCTACATATTCCCAGCTGCAAAGACAGCCATAGCTTTGATAATGGGAACCAGTCCCATTGCTGGGTTCAGAAAGAATATAACTAAACTGGCCCTTACTGGATGGGGAGTAGGAGATGGGGGAGAGAGACAGCATGTGTCCACATGCCTGTGTGTGTTCGAGGTCCATCTAGAACTCAGTTGTAGGGATAGTGTTGTGATCCCAACCTCTCTAGGCAGCACTGTCCATTCTCAGCTGCACTGTCTACTCCTAGGCTAGTCATTCTGGACAGCTCTACCACTTCTAGGCTGGATTAGCCATTCTTGACTGTGCTAACCTGGCCTAGCCATTCTAGATGGCTCTAGATGTCCAGGCTGCAGTATCCCTTCCTAAGATATGGATTCTAGATTGGGCTAACATTCTAGACCAGGCAATCCATTTTTTCCAGTTATCAGTACTAGACCATGCTGATGTTATTCATGCTCAGTTCACAAATTCTAGACTATGCTGGCCATTCTAGGTTGTAGATAGTACACTCTATTCCAGACAGCACAAACTATGAATAGGTTGTGTTCTAGTTTGGGTTATCATACTAGACAGGTCTTTCCATTCAGTACTAGTCTACATTATCCATCTCTAAACTGCTGACTCTAGATTGTGAGATCTGTTCCAGACTGCGCTATCCCCCATTCTTATGCCATCCATTCTAGACTACACTCTCTATTCTAGAATGGGCTATCTATTCTAGGCTGCACTATGCATTCTAGACTTTACTACACATAGATTGTAGAGTCCATTATCCATTTTACGTCACACACTCCATTCACAGAGGCTACGTCTAGACTGGCATGATTTTCCGCAAATGCTTTTAATGGAAAAACTTTTCCGTTAAAAGCATTTGCGGAAAAGAGCGTCTAGATTGGCATGGAAACTTTTCCGCAAAAGCACTTTTTGCAGAAAAGCGTCCGTGGCCAATCTAGACACGCTTTTGCGCAAAATAAATCTGAGCTGTCTACACTGGCCCTTTTGCGGAAAAGCTTTTGTGCAAAAGGACTTTTGCCCGAACGGGAGCAGCATAGTATTTCCGCAAGAAGCACTGATTTCTTACATGAGATCGTCAGTGTTCTTGCGGAAATTCAAGTAATTCAGGTGGCCAGTGTAGACAGCTGGCAAGTTTTTCCTGCTTTTGCGGAAAAACTTGCCAGTCTAGACACAGCCAGGTTGTTTTAGGCCATCAATTCTAGACAATCCTTTCTCATCTGCTTCTTCCATCCCACGATTAGGAGGCAATAAACTTCTCTTTTCATTCCAGAACCACAATTCCCTACCTCTCCCTACCTGCTGTGAAGCACCAGAGTTTCCAGACCTCTTCTGGAGCAGCAAAGACCAGTTGCTGCTGAAGATTTCTGAGCTCTATTCTAGGGTTGCTGTGATCCCAGATCACAGATTCCTCTATTGCTCACTAACCTGCACTGAATTTAATTTGGTTTTTTTTGGGGGGTGGGGGGAGTAGGGAATGGTCTCAGACCTTATAATGTATTGCTTCAGCTCTTCTATTCACCTACCCACACTTTGCAGTACTCCAGAGCCAGAGGGATTCCTGACCTAATGATACCACTGTCAATCATGTTCCAGATTAATCCACTGATATTCTAAAATGTTGGCTGGACTCAGCAACTAAACATTCTGTATTGCTCTCCTTTGGTCTCCAGAACATGAAATGACCAAGGGCCACCTGGCAAAGTGGATATGGAAGGGTTACAGATGAATAATATAAAACCCCTGCTCTGGAAGCTCTGAAGCTGAGACATTCCTGAAACTGGAGATAGAGACTCTGAAAGAAGATCCAAGAACCCAGGATTTGGTAGAAAGGAGACCTCAGAGGTTCTAGTATCAGGAGACATAATATTGAGAGGAAACCTGGAATTTGGGACCTCACAGCCAGAAGACATCAGAAGCCATATATTATGGGGAACCTGGATCATCTACATTTTAATTACCCAGAACCTTGGCTCCTGAAACCTTTGATCTGAGACACTCCAGACTCCACAGATGGAATTTACATTAATAGAATATAGATTTTGTAAAAAGGAGACCTCAGAGGACTTTGGAGCAGGGATACATAGGCTTAGAAAGGATAGAGTTGAGAAGCCACAATTCTGTAGACAAGACATCTTAGAGATTCTAATCTCCGGAGCTGGAATAAACTCAAGGAAAAGATCTTCTGGATCTCATTATGCTATTTCTAGATAAATATAGATGTTCTAGAAGGTGGAACATTTAAATGCTGGATAACATAATTAGAATGAATACAGGATTCCCCTTAGGTTCTGGACTCCAGCCAAATAAACTCCAGAAGGTCCCCAGATTTTACCATCAGAGTGCAAATGCCTTGCTTTGCTACACCACATGCTTCCAGACATCACCAACACATTAAAAATCCTTTAGCAATGGACTCACAACCATGCAATTCTAGAAATCTCTAGAGCAAGCAACTTACTAGCATAAGGTCAGGTTGCCAAGCTCCAAACACCTCCAAGCACTAATGTTGCAAAGCACATTGAAAGTAACAAAAAACACAGACATCCCCCCGCCCACAAGTTGGAGGGTAATTTAAATTTTATATATATATATATATATAAAATGTCCAGAAAAGCCACTATCAGCAAAAAACAAACAACAAAAACCCAAACAAACAAAAAACATTTAATTTTTTAAAGAACTTTTTTCAAAAAGAAAAGACTCTTAAAAAAAGAACTAAAATATGCATATTCGGTTAAAAATTGCAAAAAGTTGCAAGGAACACATTCAGCGTGTGGTTTAGCCCTTCCTTAAATCTGGATTAAACTGGAGTCAATTCAGGTCACTCCATAGAGATTTTGATAATAGGCTAGAAGTCCAGTGATCTCTCTACAAACAATTTCTGGATCCTGATTTTGGTTAAACCAGTGTCAAGATGGAGGCATAAGCTGTTCATCAGGACACCCACGGTTGGGGAAAACTTAACCAGAGTGACTCTGTATTAAAACTGGTCTAATCAAAACTCTGGAGTCACTAGTTGTCTATAGGGACTTTCAGGGTAAGCTAGACCTTCAGTGAAGACTCTGCGGACAAATATTGAATCTGATTTTAGTAAAACCAGAGTGAATCCACAGAGACTAGACTAGAACATATTTGAGATCTTTATAGACAACTGATGACTCCTGATTTTGAGTAAACTACTGTCAATCCAGAGACATCTGTTGTCCCTCAAGATGTCCAACATAAGTGTGAAAACTTAACTGGAGGAATTTGGACTTGACACCAGTTTCACCAAAACTGCAGAATCATAACCAACTGGCTATAAAGACCTCTAGGGTGGTAAATCAGAGTTAATCCAGAGTCACTCCTCTCAGACTTAGATTGTGATTAGAACTTCAGTGAAGTCTATGCACAATTAGTGGGTGCTGATTTCAGTTGAGACAACATCTAGCCAGTATCATCAGTTGTCCATAGAGATGGCCAGGGTAGAGTGACTCTGGATTGAAACTGGTTTAACCAAATGAGATATTGACTTCCAGAAGGCAACATAAAGCAATTGAAATTTAAGCAGCTAAGAAAAGTTGGAGAAGGGGCATAATGGTCTCCCTCAGTGCTCTGCCCGCAGAGCTCTGCCATCATTTTCTGTGCCACATTTCCTTAAAAACCCAGGACTCCTGGATTCTCTCCCTGGCTCTGGGAGGTGATTGGGGGCTGGTGGTTAGAGCAGGAGGGGGCTGGGAGCTAGGGCTGGTGGTCAGAACAGGATGGGGCTGGGAGCCAGGATTCCTGGGTTCTCTCTCTGGCTCAGGTGGGGAAGGACTAGGAAGACTCACCTCAAAACTCTCCCCCACCGCAATACACATAGGCTATGTCTAGACTGGCATGATTTTCCACAAATGCTTTTAACAGAAAAGTTTTCCGTTAAAAGCATTTGTGGAAAAGAGCATCTAGATTGGCATGGACGCTTTTCCACAAAAGCACTTTTTGCGGAAAAGCGTCCGTGGCCAATCTAGACGCGCTTTTGCAGAAAAAAGCCCCGATCGCCATTTTCGCGATCGGGGCTTTTTTGCGGAAAACAAATCTCAGCTGTCTACACTAGCCCTTTTGCGCAAAAGTTTTGCACAAAAGGGACTTTTGCCGGAACGGGAGCAGCATAGTATTTCCACAAAAAGCACTGATTTCTTACAGTAGGAAGTCAGTGCTTTTGCGGAAATTCAAGCGGTCAGTGTAGACAGCTGGCAAGTTTTTCCGGAAAAGCGGCTGATTTTCCAGAAAAACTGGCCAGTCCAGACACAGCCATACAGAACTAGGCCCTTTAGAGAAACATCCCTCTGCGTCACATAGCTTCCCCCTCAAGAGAAACATCCCTCTGCGTCACATAGCTTCCCCCTCATGTCCTGTAGCATCCCCCTCAGTCCAGATGCCACAGGACAACACATGCTATTGTAACCAGAGACACTGAGAAGGAGAGAGTCTTCCCTGCAGCCTTCACACCCAGCCACCTGGCTTTTAGCTCACATGCTGGAGACTCATGGCAATAGCTCCAAAGCTCCCAGCATCAGACCCACCTGCTGATGACCCTGGTCCATCGGCGTTATGCTATTAACGGGGTTTCATGACCAGCAGGATTTCCCCTACCCAGGCACCGTGCCCCCAGCTGGCACGAGTGAGGTAAGCAGCAGTGGGGGAGGACAGTGGAGTTGTGTGTGTGTGTGTGTCTCTCTCTCTCTCTCTCTCTCTCTTGTCCCTGGGGCAGAAGGGAGGCAGCATGGTCCCCGCACTGTGTAGCGGATCTTGGTGTTGGTGATGGCGCCGTGTTTCTGCCGCAGGTGCAGACGCAGCTGGCTCTTGTGCCGGAAGTGCAGGTGGCACGTCTCGCACTGGGGGGACAAGCAGAAGAGAGCAGGAATAAGCTCCCAGAGCTAGGGAGAGAACCCAGAAGTCCTGGCTCTAACCCGTCAGCCCCTAGTCCTCTCCCGGGGCCAGGGAGAGAACTCAGGTGTCCTGCCCCGCTCACACTCACGTGATATGGTTTCTCGCCCGTGTGGATCCGGATATGGCTCTTGAGAGTCTGCAGGTGCCGGAAGCGGGTCCCACATGTCTCACAAGGATAGGGCTTTTCACCCGTGTGGATCAACACGTGGGCTCGAAGGTGGGCAACCTGGGAGGGGAGTGAGTTTTGTTCGGACTCCAGGGGAGCTGCAGTACCCCGCTAGAGAACTCTGCATCCCATGGCAGAGAGGAGCTGCTGTACCTGGACTGGCCACTAAGAGATTCTGCTCCTCATTTGAATCTATGGGAGTCAGGGACTGCAGCTCCCACTCCTGCCACCAGCAGATGTTGGCTGCTATTGATTGCATGTGTTTCTCTCACTGCTCCTTGCCCCCAAACTGCCCCATCAACTCCTATATCTTGACTCACCCACCACAGAGCTGACCCTGTCCACCTTCCCCTACCTGAACGAAACTGGAGCCGCAGGTCTCGCACTTATAGGGCTTTTCGCCCGAGTGGATCCGTGAGTGGGTTTTGAGGTTCGCTGGCCGATTGAACTGCGCCCCACAGAGCCCGCAGCGGTACGGCTTCTCACCTGGCAGGAGATGGGGGCAGGTGGAGAGCAACATGGCAGCACCCAGACCACAATGGGGGCTGCTCCACCCCCAAGTTGTCCTCATTTGCACAGTCTCCACCCATGTCCTGGCCTCTCCCACAATGCCTTGAGCCCTTCTTGTTCCTTCTTTGTTCCTATCTTCTTCCCCTCTGACACCTGCCCACGTGCCCTCCAATTTCCCATTGGGCCCCCTGCTTCCCTTTAGCCCCTTCCTTCTTCCCCTGACTTTTCCCATCTCCCCATAAACACTCCGGCCATGTCTAGACTGCAGGCTTCTTTCGGAAGAAGCTTTTCCGGAAGGGATCTTCCAAAAAAACTACTTCCGAAAGAGAGCGTCCACACTGCCAAAGTGCATCGAAAAAGCAATCTGCTTTTTCGAGAGAGAGCGTCCACATTGAATGGACGCTGACTCACATTTAAGCTGTAATTACTATGGGTGGAGTGGCCATCAGGGCACTTGTGCTTTTTCCTTTTTCCTCTTCTTTCGAAAGAACTCCCTTTTCCCTGTCCACACACACCTTTTTCCAAAAGAGCTCTTTCGGAAAAAGACTTCTTCCTCGTAGAAAAAGGTTTACCACTGTCGGAAAAACCCCTCTGTTCTTTCAATTTTTTTCCAAAAAAACAATTGCAGTGTGGACGTAAGTGAAGTTTTTTTGGCAAAATGGCTGTTTTTCCGAAAAAACTCTATAGTGTAGACATAGCCTTCCTGTCCCCTCCCACTCCCAATGGTCCCTCCCCTGAGCCCTCCCTGACTCCACCCACCTCCTTGCCCTCTCCTTTTTCCCATTGACCCCCTCCCACCTCCCTGTTCACACCCACTCCAATTGACCCCATATCCTAAACCATCCCTGACTCCACACACCTCCTTGGCCACTCCCACTTCACCACAGACTCCTTCCACCTCCCATTACTCCCTCCCTCTCCCCACCCATGCCTCCTCCTCCCATTTCTCATTGACTTTTCCCACTGATATTGACCCCTCCCTGTCCTTACCCCACGCACCTCCTTGCCCCCTTCTACTTCGCACTGACTCCTCCCATTCCCATTTGCCCCTCCCTGCCCCACCTACCTCCCCCTTTTCTCCCCCTTCCCTCCTTGCCTTGCCCCCACCTCTTCCCCAGCTCTTCCCATGCTCCTGGCTACCCCTAGTGCCACTGTACCAGTGTGGACGGCACGGTGGGAGGCCAAGTTTCCCTTATAACGAAAGGCTGAGTGGCAGAGCTGACACTTGAAGGGTTTGTTGTCATGGGAGATGCCCACAGGGGCCTGCTCCCCACACAGCCCCCCTTCCTCCTCCTCGTCATCTCCGAGGGCCAACTTGCAGGCTCTGCAACTGTAGGGACCTGCACCTGGGGGGCATGAGAGGGCTCAAGGTGTGGTCTGGAAAGTTCCCCACTGGTCACAGCCAGCTCTTGAATGCATGGGACCGGTCCCTCCCCTGATAGCACATATATGGGACTGGCCTGCCCCTCCCTCCCCAGAATGTATGGGGCCAGTCCGTTCCTTCTACAGCACATATATGGGACCAGACTCTCTCCCCCACAGCACATATATGGGACCAGACCTTCCCTACCACAGCGTGTATATGGGACCAGCCCTTCCCCTCACACAATATGGGACTGATTCCTGGCCCCACCCACAGCATGTGTGGGACTGATCTATCCCCTTCTATCCATAATGTATGGGACCAGCCCCACCTCACTGCATATTGGACCAAACCTTTCCCACACCTCACAGTATATACAGGACCAGCCCCCCTCCCCAGCACCTATGAAACAGAATGTGGGATAGCGCCCTCTTCCTCACCCCTCACCTGCTGGAGGCTGCAGCTGCTGCTGGGGAAGGTGGGGACAGGGTGGGTGCAGCAGGGTCCCGGTCTCATGGCACAGGGGGCACTGTAGTGAGGTGGGGTGTGACCTGGGGAGAGATGAGAAAGGGAGTGGGTGGGACAGAGTAACCAGAAAGTATAGCTGCCCCATGTCTGAGGCCTGGGCTCCCTCCCCCATTCACCATATGGGACCAAGTGCCCCTCCCCTATTTATTGAACCAGTAGTCCAGTCCTGTCAGTGTTTGTGCCAGGTACCTCCCTGCTCAGCATATGGACCAGGTGCTCCTCCCCCAGTGTATATGGCATCCAGCTCTGACTCATCCCCTGAGCATATGGACCAGGTTCCTCTCCCCACCACTCATCATATGGACCAGGTGCCCCTCCCCATCAGTGGATATGGGACCCAGCACTGCCTCTCAACTGGTATATGAGACTGAGCACTCCTCTCCTTTATATTGGAATGGGCATCCCTGTATATTGGGCTGGGTACCCTTCTCAGCCTAGGAGGCCAGGCGCTCCTTCCCCACTCCAGAGTATGGGCCCAGGCGCCCCTCCTGTGTTCAGCATAAGGGACCAGGCTTCCTTCCCAACTCAACATATGGGAGGGGGCCTCCCTCCCCTGAATATTAGATGGGAAGCCCACTTCCCTTCTCTACCTCCAGTTTAAGGGTGGAGGTGTCCCTCCCCCTACATTGGACCGGACATCCCTTCCCCAGATCAGCCACTCACTTGCAGAGATTGCTGTTGTGCTGGCTCCCGGAAACGTCCCCCTCTACCTCGCCACAGCTGGTGCCTTGGTCCCTGCCAGCAGGAGGCTTGGGAGGAGTTGGGGGGTCAGGTGGCTGGGGGCCTGCCCTGCCTTCCCTGCCCCCTCCTCCCACCCCTTGCCCTCGCAGAGAGTTGAGGACAATGAACTTGTATTTCTTCCAGTTGCAGGCCTTGGGGTCCGGGGCACAGCCGCTGGACTCACGGGGTGAGGCAGGGTGGCCCTCAGAGCGTGATGGGCTGTCAGGGGGCCGCTCCCCCCTTGGGTGTGCCCCCCCCAAATCTTTTGCCTGGGATCCAGCAGGAGCTGAATGCAAGGGGGTTTCTGGGCTCTGTCCCACTGGGTGGGGACCTCCCATGGGCACCATCCCGCCGACATCTGGAGGGCCCCTGGAGTCATCCAGGAGCTTGGGGTCTTCCAGGGAGGAGAGGGACATGGGGTAGAAGTTGGTATGGTCATAACTGCAAGAGAGAGGGATGAAATGAGGGGGGTAGCCTCTGTGCCCCTCCCCCTGAGGCAGTTAGTCCCACCCGGTGGCTGGGTGGGAGCCGGCGCCCCCTAAAGGAGACAGGCCACTGCCCCATTCCCCACTTCCCTGAGCCAGCCAGTCCCTGCCCTGGGCTGGTGGGAGCCGGTGCCCCTTACCTGGCCTGGATGAAGCGGTGACAGGTGGCCACCACATGCTCCATCTGGAGGTAGGTGGCAGCGCTGAGCAGGGCTGGGACGGAGGCTGGGGTGAGGGACAGGCGTGAGGTGTACATGAAATCCAGCAGGGCCTGGAAGCCCCCGGGCTGAATGGAACTGGGCAGGTTTAGGACGCTGACCTCACTGCCGCCCTGGCCCAGGAAGATGGAGTAGAAGAAGCCACTGCCGTGGGGGAGAAAAACATTCATGGGGAAATGGGACATGGACTACAACTCCCAGCATGCACCGAGGCCCTCAAGCCACACCTACCCATACCACACTGAGAGGCATGGTCAAGAGACCTCCTCTATGTGGCCATGTCTCCCCTTCCCATGCCAGACTCGGCCTCCCCCCCGTGGCAAAACTTCCATACCCTCTCCCCAGCCCGAACTGGGGCTCAGACTCCAGCTCAGTGGCCACTCCACCCTCACCCACAGGACAGGGACTCAGATGTGGGTCAGGACAGGCATGGATTCAGGCCCCCACTAATGCATCTCCCATGCATGCCACCACCTGTGCATGTGCCCCCCAGTGTGGTTAAGTCAAACCACAGCCAAGTCACTGCCACCCTCACTGTACTCACACAGACCCACACCTGGCCAACCTCCCCATGCCTCAAAGTCCCCTTCTACCCCCCAGAGAGCCACATCCTTGTCCAGGTATGTCCCACCCCTCCAAACCATAATCCCTACCCACAGTGTCTCATCACAACCATGCCCACCAAGGCATTGCTTTCTTCTATAGCCATGGCCACACATCCACAGCCACGCCCTCTCTAGCCATGCCATGCCTCATAACCATACTATCTCTAGCCACGCCCATTCCTTCAAAACCCCACCTATCTAGCCATGCCCTGTCCCCCATCAGCACTCTCTTTAGTCACATCCTATCCCTTACAGCCACACCCTCTCTAGCCATGCCCCAGACCCTGCACCAGCCACATCCTCTTTAGTTAAGCCCCCATCCCTGACAACCCCTTCCCCTCACCTGCAGGCTGCCAGCACAGCCTTGTGGGCCAGCAAGGGGCGTCCCCCCACCAGCAGGGAGACATCGGTCAAGACGTGGCGGTGGCGTAGCGCGTCCAGGGTTAGCC